TTGCCGTGTGATACATTTCTATAATTTTTTAATGTTGATAGGTGAATGTTTAGGCTGTAATTGTATAGTTTTATTTTTGGATCTCAGTTACATTCACTCAGTTTTCTATATCTTCATCGTCCTACCCTGAGGTGCAATGCAACCCTAAAGTGTAAATCACTCATAGGCAAAAGTCTAAGATTACAGTGCAAGCTTTACTCTATAAATATAGCATACGCCTGAGCATCTCTAGCTGATTGCGACCAGGTTTCGCAGCCGAGTCGTTTTTCGTAGCCGTTTCTAAGCCGAGTGGTCGTTTTTCCCATCCAGGTATATCCCATCAGAGGGACATCGTCGCAATGGGGACAGTCCTGTTTGTTGGGTACTTCTCCGTCATTCGCCTGGTATTGATCGGAGAAACCTCGGAAAACTACCGATCAGAACAGCCGGGCAGACGCTAGAATTCTAATCCAGACAACTGCTATATTCGACCTAGCTATCCAGTTGGTATAAAAAATACTCATCAGTTGATGCCCTGAATCACCTCATCTGGTGAAAGATTGAAGAAACTTGAAACCTCTGGAACCCACATAACAAATAGTTTAAAGTTAGCTTTTGTAGGACCTGTCGGGGCAGCATAACGTTAGATTATTCACACGGTTGGTCAGTATTTAAACACATGTATTTGAAATATGTATTTTAAATATATTTTGTGTTTATAAACTGTATTTTATAGTGTTTTGTACATGCATTATAAGATATATTTAAATAAATAAAATAGGAGTATTTAAAAAGTGAAATACTTATAATACTTTCAATACAGATAAAAAAAACGAGGATCTTTTTGTTTGATCATGCTAGTGAATGGACCTCATTGAAAAAAATAATAAAAGCTCCTTTGAGCTGTTGAACTTGAATTCTCATTGTTAAATGACAAATCTAAAATGCTGAACATTAAAATGCTGAACAATTATCCGACAATAAAAATCGTTTATACCTTATAACGCTAGTTTATGTTCATGACATAATATGTGAAAATTTCGTTTCACATTTTATATGTCATGAAAATACTGCTGCTGGAATATATCTAAATCTAAATTAATTTCATTTGCATTGTCTTAAAAATCATGGATCCTGTTAGAAACATTTATACGTATCTAGCTAAATTCAACTGTACCCCGTTTTTCACGTCTAACTATAATATGTTACCTTTTCCAAAAATAACAACTTCAAAATTAACTTCATGACCAACTTCGAAGGATATATTTCGGAATAATGGAATAAATAATTATACAATTTAATCAAAAAAGGTCAATACTTGATTCAGAATTCTCCCTTTTTTGAAATCAAGGTTTATTTTTGAAAAGCTATGTTCTAACATCAGTGCGCTCTCTAAAACTTTAAATGTGTCTTCTTAACTTTGATGTCGTGTGTAGTTGAGACATTTATCTTCTAAAGTACTAGACGTACTATTGTAACCTCGTCTTCTGGATCAATGTCTTCTCGATCATGTTTTCCATCCAGTTTCACTGACGTTTTCTAGAGTTCAGTAATATAGTTATTTAAATTAACGTTATTATATTTTCACATCAAAATGTCTAATCCTTTACAAGGGCACGATGAAGGACAATTGTCAAAATATGTAGCTCTTTCCCTTTGCAAATAGTTGTTATTACACAGGAACTAATATTTTCTTATCAATTTTTGACAAAAACGCTCGTTTCCACCAGTGTTCATAAATTAACATGTATATGGGTTAAAGTGGAGATCCCAGAATTTAAGAAAACTTGCATTGAATACACTTTTCTCTATAGCACGTCACACACGTGTTTAATTGTTTTTTATGTATGAAATAAATACTTTTCGCAACAGGCAGAGTTCTAAAGTCTATACAATTGTCAAACGCTCTATCACTTGTTCACTACTTGTGTTCTGACCCACAACTCGCATATCTGCTTGTGAATTTGCAAGAAACCTAATTCATAATTTATCTATTGACTACTCAATGACAATGTGTCCACACGCCGTTTTCCCTGTATTTTCCGCCGATAATGCCAATATAGAGATAGAAATGCCTGAATGAGGACGTTTTGTAATAAAATGTAGAGCTCATTGGGAGCACAATCTACGACTAGAAACGAGCTTCCTGTCGTCGAGTTATTTACGACCATTTTGTCTCAATTTTCTTCGCGTGTTAGGTTATCATTCTTGTTCAAAAGCACATCAGCACACTCATAGAAACTATACTTTCGATGAGTTATATTCATATTCTTACGTATATCTTAAAACGTGTTCTCGTTTTCAGCTAACATAATGTAAACAGTTAATTGTCAAAAGGAAACTTAAATCTTTTAAAATTTAAGTTAGGGGCAAGAATTGAGGATATATCAAGAGGATATTAGAGGGAAGAAGATCACAATCTTACCGAGGTCGAATGCAATAATAATACTTTGAATGAGCCTCAGGGGCGGTTCGTGCGAGTTCCATGAGAGTAGGAAAAAAGTAACTTCCAAACACTATTACATTAAATAAAACATTCAATAAATTAGTTTTAGTCAATTGAACTGGACAAAATATATCGACTTTGCGTAACTTGTTCATTGTGTTTTACACGAGAAACACTGACAGCTTCGCTTAATGTTCGTTCAATGCCATACTTTTTTTAAAAAAGTGTTACTTTTAGAGAACAATTGAGATGTGATTTTTGTGCCTGTGAAATACGTGACCTCCATTTTATATATCACTGAAACCAGAACATGACTAAACATCCCTCGAAATTGAAAAAAGAATGCATGGAAAATGCAGGAGAATTTGTCGTTGTTCACACCCTTTTAACCAGCAAGATACTGTTAACCAGAAGGCATTATCATACCACGACGTGGAAAGCTACAATTTCCTTCCGTTGGTGGTGCCGGATGAAATCTCCGATAGTACCAAAGTTGCAGGTCCTTTCTTTAGAACAGCAATCTCGTCTTGTAAACCGACTTCTAAATTGTCCAAAATATTAAAAAAGCTCTTGCTCATTTTTACACAAATAAATAAATTGCAATTCAAGGAAACAATCTCAGAACAGTTCAGCAGCTCTAGGATTACACGAATCAATTTGAATTTTGGGTCTCCGGGATGAGCCGCGTCTTAGGAGATCGACCTGGCGTTTCTTCGAGCTGACACGGCTCATACGGACAGCCAAGAATCAAATGACTGGCTGCGGAAGCTTACGAATCCATTCTACACGAATCAAGTGGTTCAGGGAGCGCAATAAGAATATATTATCTCCAGGCAACCCTCTTTAATGATTGTGCATCGAAATATAGTAATCAATGCATATAGTAATCGCACTATTAGTCGCCTTGGCATTGGAAGAGCAAGAGAGAGAGAGAGAGAGAGACGTATCGATTAGATTTGTCCTTTCACCTGGGCTAGATCAGATAGCATCGTGTCTCTGCCTACATCTTGGCAGCTTGACACTTAAAAGAATGCCGCAGGTCTCATTTACGTCGAACTCTTTAAACTGTCGAAAATTGTAAATTTAGAAATAATGCGAGAAGGCATGAACTGTTGTAGCACCAAATGTCAGGATTTATTTCACGATCTGAACTCGATACCAGCTAAAATATTATAAATACTGTAATCCAATATAAATAATAGTTTATATAACCGTTACTACCGTATACTACGCGGACAATTGAAGTTTCTCGTCTTCACGGTGCGGCTGCCACGACTGAAACACATCACAGGGGCAGAGAAATTAAAACAGATTTGCAGGTGCATTCATTCCATGAAAGAATATTTCGCGTCTCTCCGCCAATTGTATTGAATTCGCATAAATTCCATTTTATGAAGGTTTTTCTCCTACCGCAGGTCATGAAAAGCCGTTCCGTTTCCGCGTTGGACAGATTCCATTCTATGCTGTGTAAAATGCCATTTAACTTCACGGGCCAAGGAAATTTTCCGGTGAAGACAGATTCCGGTTCAGAAAGATTTTACTGTACGTCTCTTTGAAGCATATTATTTTGATATACAATTTATTCAGCACTTCCCATTATATGTATCACAAGAATGTAACGTTATTGCTTATTTACAACGTTTACATACAACAAACCTTACGCTGGACCACGATCAAACATATTACATCAGTCTGAGAGCCAAGAGAAACGCGCAAAAGAAAAAGTTTTCTGCATGATGCAAATACAATTATTATACGTGATCGACTCACAGAATGTTAATTATCCTTACTACAGGTTTAGTAGTGATAAGAAATGAAATATTCAAATTCCAGCACAATCTTGTTACGCTCACCGTGTCCACGGGAGTTGCAGCGGCTTATCGCCCGCTGATAACGACGGGAGGGTGTGGGTGGTTTGTCAGAAACCAGGTAGATGTTCGTCTTCATGTTCAGAAACAGTATAGTTACAGTGATCGCAGGAACGGAAACATTGATATATCGAAATTACACCAGAGTTGAAGAAAAAATAAAGCAATGGCCCAGAAATTGACCTGTTTTATCGTTCTTATATAAAAGTTATATTATGTAATTGCGTTGAAATATGCAAGTTAAATAAACTTGAATAAAATTTAAGTTTATCAGAAAGTAATTAAGGAATAGGAATAAAAGATACAATAAAAGCTATAAATAATTTAGAATTGATATCTAATGTAAAGTATATTTAAGAGTTTTGTGTTATGCTTTGGACCAATTTAAACCGATGGCTTGTTGTTAATTTGTTCTCTTTCTATCTTCTAGGGCCACAAAATACTTCAATATCTTATTTGTATTATAAAGAATAACTTACGTTCTTGTCAATGTTTTCCCTAATCTTGTCTTGGTGTGTCAATATCTATGAAGAAGTAAAAGACAGATTTTATGACTGACTCGCACTATCTAATTACATATATAGACCATTTTTATATATTCCTTTTCCGAAGACTGAAGACAAATTTCTAGTAAACAAGATCACATGCTACTCGAAAAAGTGATCTGATCAAACATTTTCCCTTTGCTACTTATCAGCAGCGAAAAAATGCACAGGTAACTGACAGCTCTACCTCCGCGGCGCGCCAAGAGCTATATTTTTCAATTATTCCGCGGTTTCTGCCGACCTTGGAGTCTTAGGCTTGCAGTAGCGTAAAAGAATGCGGAAATGATGCTGCTAGTTCGTGGCCCATGGCTAGCACAAATGTTTTCGCCATGTGGTTTGAGAACGGTTGGCATCTCATACCACCACGTATTTCATATGAAATCATTTCATCATTCATCTATTGTGAATCACCCCTTTCGATCATCCTATCATGATTACCTCTCATGATTGTACTTAACGTTCATTATAGTACTTAAGAAAATTCAAAACGTTTATTAGTAACATGAAAGAGTATTTTATTGTATTGACATTGAATAGACAAAAAATCCCAAGAACTTCAAAGAGGACACAAGACACTTGAAAAAGGTCACAAGACATTTGCAAAAGGTCACAAGAACTTGAAATAGGTCACAAGACACTTGAAAAGGGTCACAATACTTGACAGAAACGGTGTGATGTAGAAGTGTTTCATTATTGTTTATTAAGGGAGTTTCGAACTAAAACTCCGCTAAAACTCCCTGGAATTTTTAAAGCGGTGACATGAAAAGGCAAACCATCACTAAGATAACCTGCCCAGGAAAGGCACGGACAAAAGGTTTCGCCTTCCTCCCTCGCTTACGCTCAGAAATGGGCGTGGCACCTACCTCTGATTTTTATTTATCTTTAACCTTTACTCATCTTTCAACTATTTATAGTTAAAATTATGGGAAGGGATTCTGGAAGAAGAAAACGTGCGCAAATCATCATCTACCCCATAAGTCACTATAGGATTTACTGTTTTTTTTGACTAAATAAATATAAATTATCTTTTTTCTTCCCACTAGCACGTAGGCAGGCAGATGACGACCTGAGGATGGCAAAGATATTTGTTAGCAAACGTGATGGTTTGACGTCATCGAACTCTCAACAATCATGTGCGTAACATCTAGAAACAGTTTCAAAATGAGAATTACAGAAAAACTTCTGTAAACAAAATGACATAATCTTTTGCATTTCGTTATCAGACAACTACAAACAAGCAAACAAACAAACAAATGCACTTCTGTAAAATTCTCCACAAGTCAGTTAGCCCATGTCATTCTTAGACCGTAAGACAAAACTATAACGGGCACGACAATTCTGAACGTAAACGTTTCAGGGATTGTATAAGAACGATGAACACACACTGAGTTATTGAATGTTCGCGTAAACACTGCTTCAAGTTGACGAGCAATGTTGCAATTTTTCTGTGTTAATTCCCATATTAGGTTTTTGTGTTATTTCTTGATATTTATAATATTTACATAAAAGGTGACTGATCAGTTTTAGAAAGTTTTTTTGTGATTTGAATATCAATATTAGGCATCTAATAAGACTTCACGTATTTGAAGCCTAAAAAGCATGCGGCTACAGATAAAGAGAAAAACTGAAAATGAACACCGTATAGTAAATTTTAAGCTTTCACTGTTATAATAATAATTATTATTTACATAATAAATAATGATTTATTATTATTATTATTATTATTATTATTATTATTATTATATCGGGGAATGGAAGGGAAACGAAAACATTGCCACAATTTTTTTTTAGAAACTATCAAATTGTTTAACTGTCAATAGTTTTATAAAATACAAAATATACAACCTTATAAAAATAGCCTAAATGTTCAGTTAATAATATTCTGACTCATAAGAATGACGCACATAAATTCGTCATAAAAAGGGAAAATTTATTCTTGTTTTTTCCTTTTCAAACTAGGCCTTTATCATCCTCATTCCATTCATAGCAAACATTTTGCTTGGGGTCCATTCGCAAACATACGCCTACCACTATCACTTTCATGACTGAAAATCACCTGTAATCCACTCATACATTTTCAAATACTTCCCAGCGACCTGGAATGCAAATTTGCTCCTTCAACGACTGATTTGCCTGATACCGGTAACTCTTTCCAAATCTCAGCCATGTAAATATTTCTACAGTCGTGCCAATTTCCCAAGGCCACTCGAGTTCGTTCAATCACGAATAGATGGTATAAATGGCATTATCGACTAATTTCGAACCTTCTGATTGAAGAGTAAGAAAAACAAGGTAATAATTACAGTGTTCGACGCAAGGTCCGTGATAACGTAGGTGCTTACTAGCTCCCGTGGTAATGCGAGGAAGCGTCTTATCACCTGTCAGGTGTATCGTGGAACTGTTGATTCATAAATCTAGATATTTTTCAAGCTCTGGTAAAAGGATAGCTTCAAGTTTATTTTTAACTGAAACCTATAATTCACGTAACGCCATACGCGTTAGCAGTAAAACTGACAAAACTTATTTCTTCCCACCGTAAAGAACATGCCTACTGTCGAAGAGTTTCGAACGATAGCGGATACTTCTACTGAACTAAATGGGGCATCACATAAGAAAGTAATTACTAAAACATGAAGGAGGGGGACCGAGTATAATAAAATCAGCTTTAAAACAGGAAAGAGGCGTTTTGCGTTTTGGAGTGTAGTCCTTACTCGACATGAAGACAACCGCCTTCCTACAGTTCATTCTACTGCTTCAAGCAGGTACAATGAGACGGGCGTTTAGGAGTGACAGTTTTTAAAATCCTCTCCGAGGTAATATTACTGAGATTACACGCATTTTGTTCTTTTTCTGCGTGAAACCATAAACAGAGTTTCCGAGCGACGTTTACGAACAGCCAAATCCAGGACGTTTCGGGTGCTCGGAACACCAAAGTTCTAACTGGCTAGTAGTAAAGTATTCACCGTTTTATATTCGTCTTTCACAAAACGCGAAGTCGCCACAGACGCCATATGTCATGATACGTGGACAGTTATAGCTGCGCCGCGACATCACAAGTTACCATGCGTGCCTCGGAACTTTATGATCGTTACTTAACCCGCTTATCCATTCGTCGTAAGCACGCGAGGATTGCTGCGGGCCGCCGCGCTGCTCAGATTGGCGTGTTCAACTGAAAGGCGACCGCTCCTATCGAAGCACTCATTTCTCGTCCAATTTGAACTGGGTAGGAAACGTCGTCGCTGGAAAAGGTGACGCCTCCAAGGAACAAATGAATAGACGGCGGGGTATTTTAAAAACATGAACTAGCGCGGCGTGTTTTGTATTATCAACTGGCCACCTACTCGCTAGTTGGGTTGAGTTATGTTGAGTTCTGGTTTCTGCGTGGTTGCGGCAACATTGTTAGAGTGAAATGCATTTGTTTTTTATACTTTTCATTTCAGCTTTGAGAGAGATGTTTTGGATTCACCAGGAGGAAAAGGTATGAAATTTGACGTGTGATTTCTGTAGCATATCGGAGAGTAATGTGCTATTACTTAAAACACTGTGCCATAAAATATTATTGTATGTTATGCATTACGTGTGAGAACTACTAAAATATAGCGTGTATTATTTGCGGTCCCTCTTCGTTTTAATTGTACCGAAAGGTATTTTGCTTTCTTAATGTTAAATATTGCACAGTAGTGATGGAACGAAAAATATTGGAGATTTGGTCCATCAAGTACAATATTGCATACTAAATTTTAACAGAAAATAGAAATTTCCTCCCATGGTAGAGCAAAAGCAGGTTTACACATTTATATTGCAAAGTTGTCAGAATAGCAAGGTGAAGTAAATGTTTTGTTAGACCTTATTTTTAAACTTCGAACTCAAGGATTCTGAGACATTTGCGCTGCTGTTTTAGATGTGATCCAATAAGTCCCTTTATATTGAAGTTTAACAGTCTAAATCACAGCAAAGTAAGAATCTTGTAAGTAAAAAATAAGGCATATCGTTCCTTTACGTTCCTTTTGATCGGATGAGGTACAATATATTGAATTCTATGGTGTAAGTGCCATATTTATTAAAACTTTTGAATTTAAAATAATTATGTATTATTTCGTATCTCCCGCGCAACGTATTTTATACAGAGTATTTTAAGAGATGGCTAAACTATTAGTACAATACAAGCTGTAATATTATAATATAACAAAATTTTTAAAATGCGAGAAAGTATGTGATGATGTAGCAATATCATGGCATCGCTACAATCGCACATACTTTCTGGAATCTTTAATGTTCGTTATATTATATTACAATTTGTATCGTACTAATAGTTATAATAATTTTATAGTTTGTGCGTTATATCAAATAGAAACTACAGATCAATATCAAATTTTCAGAATTTATAAAATGTCACTTACACCGTTCTGGTTTTCACCCATTCCATTAAATGAAGGACTTGGGTCAGTATTAAGATAAAACACAGCAGTCACAGAGAGGTTCCTGATATTCGTAAATGTTAATATCTCGATTTCGGAGAAAGTACGGCTTTTCTTGCAGCTAGTGTAATGAGTATTGCCAGACATCCTGCGATTGGTGTGACTTCTCTTGGCCCAGCCGCAAACCTTTGAATCAATTTTCGCCGGGACGGATGTCGCGAAACCCCCGAAGAAGAGGATAGTGCCCTTAAGTGAACACAAAAACAATGGCCCACGGCGTAAAATAGGCTTCCGGCAATGCCGTTGAGTTGGTTGGCCGGGCGTGCACGCAGGGCGGGGCGAGGCGGCGGCGGCGGCGGCGGCGGCGGCGCGGGGCGCGCGGTCGGCCGCAGGGGCGGGCGCCAACGGCCTGGAGGCGCCCCCGCCGGATCCGCAGGGCTACGGCACGCGCTGGATGTACATCCCCGACGGCGAGGGCGTGCCGCGCGTCGCCTTCCTGGAGCCGCCCACTGACGACGGCTGGTGGGGCATGGGCCGCAGCACCTCCGGCGACGAGGACGTCATCTTCCAGCTCTACACCAGGTCACTCCCTCGTAGCCCTCGGGTTTGAGGTTTTTTTTAATGTGTGTGTTTCCGGGAGCGTCAACTGCTGTGGTCAATAGTCCTATAGATGCAGTGTCTATCATATAGAGGGATTACTATAATAAGGGACCGCTTTGACAGATATTGCTTGGCCTCTGCTGGCAATGACACTGCAAGTTATGTCCATGAAATAATTTTGTCGGTGCGTTCGTTTACAGTTAGCTCATTTGTAAATTGCTCCATCACCACTATTTCTTCCAATAGCATCGCCCTACATGACGTTCATTTGTTTCCCACCCTGTGAAAGTGGTCTCTTCTTAGAGTAACTCCACAATATCCCAATCGGAGGTTTCCTCCCCAGCTGAAATGTAAGATTCGATGCCGAACTACACGTTGGCTTGCAAAGTTTCCTCCTCCGGTTATCTCCAGCACCTTCTCAGTCACCACCCCAGGAAGAACAAACTCCTGACTGGTCTCCCGATATGTGTGGTGGTGAAGTATGTGTAGGTGTATTCGTATGGTTAGAAAGGGGTACAATATTGAGGAAGACAGATTGCATGCGTGTAATGAAATACATGTAAGATCGCGTGCTGTCCGTAACCCATTCGTAAAGGCACTATTCCATCATTCGCCTGCTACCGATTACAGCAGCCGGCCTCTAGAATTCCCATTCGATCAGATGAATTGGCCCCAGCTATCTAGTCAATGTCGAAATTCCGCCAACGTCGAGACTCGAACCCGAGGGTCGCCCGATCAGAGTTATTGCAGAGTTGTAGGCCTTATGTTGTATGTTGTTTACCCTCCTCTCCTCCGCAGTGCTACTTGCCACGCAGGAGTTGAGGTCTGGGTGAGAATTGGAAATGCTCTTCAGGAGGGAAGGTAGTTCAAAAATGAAAACTAGTGGTGCTACAGAATAAAACAGACTTTCCCATATTAGTGTCTATTTCCTTTGGTCTCGGTTAGCTTTTCGAACTTGCCACGTATTCTTGCCTGCTGCCATCAATCGCCGCACAAACATTTTCTTAATTTCCTAATTGTGGAGCGGAAATATTATTTTAAGATTATTAAAGAACAATACAACCTTTTTCTAAATGGCTATTGTCTTTGAAAAAATGGAGCAGTTTTTTAAAAAACTGGCGTTTAAGCGCCATTGTAAATTCGGGCCTATCTACACTATTTGTTAGAGGACGTAAGTTACTTAATATAGGAGCAAGATTTGTCCACTTTTTCGTTACCAGGGCCCGGCAAAAATGCTTTCCTCTCGAAACATTGTCGTTTTCCGACGCATGATAACAATGCTTTTTGTTCTTACGCAGCAAGGCTAGAAAGTATTGTTATCTGTATAGAAATTATGACAGAAAAAAGTTATCGCTACGCACTTTAAAATCCCTTATCACTAGGAAACGACCTTTAAAGCAGGTTCGTGTCCCCGAGACCACACGAGTTGAGAGGCGTTTTGTAGGAATACGAGTAGCGCGTACAATGGTGGGTCAGGTGAGGGACAAGTGCAGAGAGGAGGGGACAGGTGAGGGGCAGTTGGGACTGGAGTGGTGTTTCTGAAGCAATATTCTCGACATAAAACCTTCATTACACTTTCGGATATTTAGTTCTTTTGGGGACCTCTGCTCCGTGGCATGGGTAATAAGATACGAGCAGTAAAATTAAATTGAAGGGACAGAGAAAGAAAAAATATTCCACGATAAAATGAAACTATCTGTTTGATTTTCTGTGAATTTTAATGGCAACACTTAGCAATATTAGAATACTCAGACACAATATCGATCAGAAACAATTCTGTAACACACATTTAGGGACTGGCCATTGTACGTTTGGACCTACGTTTGTGAAGTTACTTCCATGTTTAAAACGATGGTTTCTAAAATGTGGGATCTTCGCGTGGATCTAGAGTATAATGCTCGTAATAATGTTTGTATATATTTAACATTTTAGGGTCAGTGAATCAGTTTTTTGCCAGCTATGTTTCCAGAAATGGGCTCGGTTTTTTATTTATAATCCACGTTTGGGGATAAGGTAGACATGTCGCGGGCACATGGCCCACTCCCATTACCGTATCTAGCATACTTTGCCTGCCCAACTTTTTCTTTTGACACTCAGCTATAGAAAGAGAATTTTGTACTAGAAATCTGTAGCTTCAGTTTTGCCCCCACCGGCATCGAATCCGGGGTCACATCACAGAAACCTAGCACTCTGTCCACGAGCCACACCCAAGGGGGTGGAATGGTTTATAATAATAATAATAATAATAATAATAATAATAATATAGATAATATATAATTAATAACAATAATAACAACCAATGATAACAACAAAATAACAACAATAATAACAACAATAATAACAACCAAATAATAATAACAATAATAATAACAATAATAATAATAACAATAATAATAATAACAATAATAATAATTTAATATTATCATTATTATTATTAATGGCGAATTCTCCCCATAGATGGAAGACGCTAAGCTAGAGTTTCAATTTTTATTTGGGTTCTTCTTGTTTTTCCAATATGCATTACTATTGTTATTATTATTATTATTATTATTATTATTATTATTATAAATATAACATCTTTTGGTAAACCCCGCTACTCGAATGCAAGCATTTTCCATACGCATCACTCCCTCATTTGATTTCTTTTCACAGCAAGAACAAGATTGAAGGCCAACGCATCTACGTGAACAACACGCAGTCGCTACGATCATCGTATTTCGACGCGAGCAAGCCAACGTATTTCCTAGTGCATGGCTGGTTGTCGAGTGAATTAAGCACCACAGTTACCAATCTGCGAGACGGTGAGCAAAAACATATAGTATAGTTGGGAGTTAAAATCTGTCGATATAATGTGTAGTATTTTGTCCCGGACAATCCCTTTTCATAAAACATGTCCTGCGCGTTCCAGGAGCTTGATATCTCCATATAATAATAATAATAATAATAATAATAACAATAATAATAACAATAACAATAACAATAACAACAACAATAATAATAATAATAATAATAATAATAATAATAATAATAATAATAATAATAAAATGTTCCTCCCACAGCCCAGCCCTACGTCCGAGCAATTGAGAACTTAGCCACGTGGGAAGGCGGGCAACGTCAGAAAATTTGGCGGGCAAACAGGGCGATGAAACACCCATAGAGATATGGAGAAACGGAATCTGCGTCGGTAGGCCTCGGAAAAGCAGCCGCTGCCTGGGGAGCGGCCGGGCACCTTCGAGCCACGCTGAGGTGACAGGCATGCGAGCCGGGTGGTGATCAGGAAGCTGAACAGGCGGGCCCTGATTCGGGGATAACCCCGATATACTCAGCCGACATAGCAGCAGCCCATCCATCTCCACTTATAGCTGCACCTGCCGCAGTGCTTCCAGAGAAGCATATCTATTGCTTCCAGAGACGCACTGCCGCAGGCGGCAACGCAGAAGGATGAAGTGGACTATAGAAATAATACCTTCATCATGCGTGAATACCTACACGCATTAGCAAAATGGTGGACTGACACTACGGCTACCGACAAAAGTTACATCAAAGATTTCTTCACCGTTTCCCTGAATTCTGAAGTTTAGTGAGCAAAAGAATAGCCGGACGCAGCGTCGAGCAAATTGTTCAAGAAAATCTCATCTCTGCACGCAAAGTTTTGAAGCAATCAGGAAGAATGGAGAAACATGCTAAAACTCCTGCAGAACCGTAGTAATCGAGGGCAGTGGATATATTCAGCTGTGCCGCAAACTCAGGATGACCAAATGGGAAAGCATGTCAGAAAGATGGGTGATAAGAGTAGGAAGAGGTGGAAATTCGCAAGGAATTTGCCAGTCGCAACTTTGCGGAATTTGAAGGAACTGACCCACTGAACCGCTATCTCATTCCAGACAAAAATGCTCGAAGAAATAGCAAGAGGCAATCAGCGTTCTGAATGAGAAAGTACTTGCCACACATCTACAACAAAGACATCGCTTTGAAGAATTAACACACAGCAATTGTATTGATGCTGCGGGTTGTGGCTTCAAGATGTAACGCGTTCCAACTTTTCAGCCCGCGTTAGCAACTTCCCAACAATGATCGAAGTGAAAAAGAAATGCCACCTTTGGTGGAAAGACGGCTGGTGAATGTATAGTAAAGCACTAGAAGAGATATTGGAGACCTCACGCAATTTAAAAAAAGGAAATAACCCTCAGAAAAACTGAGGAAAGAAAGGTGATAACATCGCTCATCAGGTACAAACAATTCATACGACGGCCACGAGCCCTTGATTCAACAATAAAGAACATCTTGACACCTAATCCGACAAAAGGGCTTTTTGGCGTTAACAAACGCCTTTCGACGCTACAGGAATTGCACTACGAGGAAGCAACAGAATTCTTCTTTTTAAGCAAAAACCAGAAAGCATTCTAGCAGGAATATGTCAAAGGGCAAAGGGCTTGTAAATGATATGAAAGAGTGCAAAGCTTTCCCTCAAGGCACCAAATAGAGGACTTTGGGAAAGCCTATCGGTGCATCTGCTTGTGTCCCACAACCAGATTATGACGTTGGATTTGAAATGGGAATATGACAGACAGCCGGAATGTCCCTTCTAATGGTGTGAACCAATCATCACCGTGGAAATTGTCCAAGCCAGCTTTGAGCAAAGCACATAAACTGGAAGGCACCAGGCAGTTGCATGGCCTCCACAAATTATTGGCTCAAACAATTTACCAGCACCACCATCATATAGCTAATATAATCTCAATATTTTCTTCACAATCCCAGAAATCTACCTCGTTTCCTCACTGAAGGTGAACATTTTGGTTACCAAAGGGAGGGTGTACTAAAGACCCTCGAAGTACAGGCCTATAACCTGCCTTTCAAACTTTCCTACAAACTCATAAGCATCTTGTGTTTCGCAAATAGATGATCACACACACTGAGGAACAGACATCTTAGCAAATGAACAGAAAGGATGGGTAGACCTGGATCTTCAGGGATGGCAAGGAGCAACTCATTATAGCACTCTGTAATTTATGGGGCAAGTGCTTGAAAAACAAAGAAACGTGTACGCATGCTACATAGATTACGCTAAGCATTCGGACACCGTGCCCCAATTCTTGCTCCTTTCGATGTTTGGATGTATACAGTTCCACCCGTTTATCCAAAACTTCCCTGAAAACTGGATTGAGTCGATGGAATAATACCCCAAAAACTGCTATCTCTCTAATGGAAAACAAATCCGTCACACAGATACTATTACACATCCGCCGAGGGATTTTCCAGGTGACTCTTTAAGCCTTTATTGTTCTGTTGTAGCCTGAAATCCCTGCTCTACTCTACTTAATCATCTAATTATGGAAATCGCTCTTAAAAAGGGGAAACTCAACTCTTCTTCGTGTCATCACATCTCCTTTACATCGGGATGACCTGAAGCCTCTAATGCAGACCACTGAGAGTTCATATGCGGCAACTAATAAACGTGACGAGAAGTTCACTGAACGACCATTAAGATGAAATTCGGTTTGGATAAGTGCAGGAGAGTGAATATCATTCGCGGTCATATGCCAAGCTTATAAATTGCGAAACTGATAATGAACAAAGATTACGCTTCATGGAACGCCCATGAAACTTAACAAATACTTGGGTTTTCCAACAGTGTCACTCCGAATCAAACACACTGTTACTAAGATATACTAACAAATGAAGTCTGTAAACGATTGCATGGGCCTCTTAAAAACTCAACTCCTCTGCTAGAAACCTTTGTGGCAGGCCATCAATTTCAGTAGAATGATCCGTGCTGACATACCCTTTGGCGTTATTTAAATGGAGCAATACCGACCTCGACAAACCTCCAGAGAACAAATTCGAACCGCTTGACTCACACCGAAAAACATCATTCCCGCATTCAAGTTACTGAGCCGTTTTACCCTTCCAAGGTCGGCAAGGTAGGGCGAGGATTTGTAGATCTCATATAAACTCTACACAGCTTCTCAATTGCTTCACTCAGAAGATACTTCTTGAACATGGGAGAGTTTTCAGACAAGCAGTGAGCGCAGTTTGATAATAACTTATAGGTCTCTGAACTTGAAAAGCTTGATCCGCCTGTTCAACCAATCATTGAAAACGGAAGAGAAGATAACCTTATGGAAAGCAAAGGCACTGCATGGAAGGTACCCTAACCGAGCTGAGTAACCACCAGAAAGTCTACATCTGTGCGTCGCACGCATGCTCCAGCACGGGGATCTCTTTCGGAGGACAGAAGCCTTCATGGATAGCTATCCAGACCAAGTTTGATACACATTGGACTACAGGAAAACACATTCTGCGAGGCTGAGAGTTCTACCATTCATTCCCGACTCGTGTAGAAGATGTTGAGCGCTGCAAAGCGAAACTATCCAAACACGTAACAGTGGCGATGTAGCCAGACGCACAGGTGGAATACAAAAAGAGCGATGAATGAAGTGGGCGAAGCAGGACACAATTATTGGCGTTTGAGAACGGGCTTACTTGCCACTTTCCGTGCCGTATTATAAATATGTGCCTCACGAATGGTGCTTGACAAGTAGTGAGCACCACACTCCGTACCTGGGCATCGTTCCATATCACTGCACAGACAATGTCGGGCGCAAATAGACCAGATCATAACGTTACATTTGATAGAACCAACAGCACGGTTTTCGTTATCCGGATATATCAATTCCCAATACCCATCACATATTCGGGAAAATATCAGAGAGACAAAAAAAGACCCAGAAGATATACCGATCTCCGCCTATCGAAGTCGCGCAACTCAGTGGAACTCAGTAAAGTTGACGACTGTGCCTATAATAATATCACTACGCGGACGTGATCCCGAAAATCGACACTTCGGGCCTGGCGCTGTCTTCACTTGGATACCGGAATGCTATATAATACTGCAAAAGACAGTAATTTTGAATACATGCCGGTTATTGTCAGAAGCCATCTGAACTCGCTTCAGTAAAGCAACACACACCTGGTCTTCAACCTGTTGTGTGGTTGACATACGCACCAGAGATATTGTGAATAATGTAAGACAATAACTAATAATAAAATAATAATGAATAATAATAAATAATAATAATATAATAGTGCAATAGATAACTACAGCCACAACTATAAGATTAACATTAATAGCAAAATTATAATAAATATTAATATAAATAATAATATTTCTATTATTTGGAAGAATAATGAAGAAGAAAGTATTTGGAGAAACGCGTATTACCACAAATTATCTTTGAAAGTGGGCCTTTTACTTATATTTTGAAAGCAATAATCTTAACGGTCGTTTTTAAAACACGCTAATAGCTGGCTGGCTCTTCAATGAGAGGGAAAATATTCTGAAGTCAATTACAGACCCCTTACAATATGTATATAAAAACTATATACTATAACAAAGCGACAAAAACCATTTGAAACGAGAAAGTAAATAAGTAATTAATATGTGTACTAATATATCTTTCACTTTTATGTGACTTTTGTTCCTGAAGCTCCAAACAATTTTAACAAGTATACTGAGAGAAAATCATGAGATTCCAATTTTTACTTTTTTATGAACAAATAAGAAAACGTTTTGCATTTAACCTCTCCAAACGTTTCAGTATTTTTTTTTCTAATATTTTTACCCATTTAATAAATTTTAACTGGGAAAAATCGGTCAGGTGGCGCAGGAATTTGAGGCAGAAACACCAGGAACGCGTTATCAAAACATTAAAATGTCTGCGTAACAGTACGGTTGATATCCAATCGTGGGCATAACGGCCTTTTTACAGTTCCGTAGTATCGCCAATTCCACACAAAC